TACTCGTCTTCCAGAACGCGTTGTTTTAGGTTTTTCTATCGACGTTGACGAAGTATCAAGTTGTGTGTCGGTTGTCGTGTAGGGTACTACGAGTGTAGTAGCTGTGTCGTTTGCTTGTACCGAAGGAAAATCGACGTAGCTAGGGTTTCCTTCTAGGTACGCAGCTTTGAGTCGATCGATACTGATGCTATCTTTCGTACCGTTCTTATCGACTACATAGTACTTAGGTTCGCGTTGAAGAACTTTGAAGGGTCCTTCGTATGCTGATTCGAGGGGTCGTCGATGTGAGTCTCGACGAACGAAGACGTGTGTACTATGTCGTAATTCGGGTTGAACGAAAACATCAGTTGATTGAGGTCGAGTGTGAGCAGGTTTAACTGAACGCATAGCGTTTGTAAGCCTACTCGTGTAAGAGTTTAGATCCATGTTCAATGAAGAAGCTGAAGGATCCACGAATTCTCCTGGGAGTCAGAGTGTCGTTCCGTAAACGAGTTGAGATGCCGTGTATCCAATGTCAGCTTTCACTGCATTGCGGATACCTAGCAAGACGAGTGGAAGAGCGTCTGTCCACTGTGAAACGTTTGAAGCTGATAATGAGGCTTTTAGTTGTCGATGAAAACGTTCTACCAACCCGTTTGCTTGTGGGTGGTAGGCGGTCGTTCGGAAGCGCGTGATTCCTAAAAGTGTGGTCAGACAACGGAAAAGTCCAGATTCGAACTGGCGTCCGCGGTCTGTAGTGATGGTTGAAGGGCAGCCGAAATTTGCTACCCATCGTTCAACGAAAGCGCGGGCCACGGTTTCAGCAGTAATGTCCTTAATCGGTACTGCTTCTGGCCATCGAGTAAAACGGTCTACGCATGTTAGGAGATATGAGTATCCGTTCGAGTCGGGTAAGGGTCCTATCAAATCTAGATGGACGTGGTCGAAACGAGCGTCAGGGGTTTTGAAAGAACCTAAGGGACATTTGTTGTGTCTGATTACCTTAGATTTCTGACAGCTTACACAGGAGCGTGCCCACTCCCTCACGTCTTTATTCATACCAGGCCAACAAAAGCGTTCGGCTATAAGTTCGATTGTTGCACGAGCACCTGGATGAGAAAGATTGTGCAACGTATTGAAGACGTTGCGGCGATAATGTTTTGGTACAATTGGACGATCCCTACCTGTAGATGTGTCACAGAGTAAGGTTTCCTTACCTGTTCCCATCTGCCTAATACTTAGTTTAAGAGTTGTCGAGGATAACTGATGCTGAAAATCAATGTCTTCTTTTTGAAGCTGAGCGAGTTTAAGAAGGTCGATTCCTTGGAAACTGTTCAAGGAGCTAATTCGAGACAAGGCGTCTGCGACTACATTGTTTGCTCCAGAAATATGTTGTATGTCTGAAGTAAACTGCGAAATGTAGTCGAGTTGTCGAGACTCTCGCGGTGAGTACTTGTCTGAAGATGAACTTAAAGAGAAGGTAAGACGTTTGTGATCGGTAAAGAGCGTGAATTCTCTTCCTTCGATGGAATGTTGAAAATGCCGTACAGCACAATACATAGCTAGGAGTTCCCTACCGAACGTGCTGTACCTAGATTCAGCGTCTAGCAACCGTCTCGAGAAAAATCCTAAGGGTTGCCACGAGTTGTTAACCCATTGTTGTAAGACTGCTCCGATTGCTGAGTCGGATGCGTCTACGGCGATACTAATGGGCGCTTGACTGTCCTGATGAGCAAGCAAGGTTGCTTTAGCGATGTGTTCCTTAACTGTGGAAAATGCTTTACGGGCTGTGTCGTCTAAACTAATTGATTTTACATTTCCACGAAGCTGATCGGTCAACGGTTTCATTAGGGATGCGCATTTGGGTATGAACCGTCTATAGAAACTTACGAGTCCGTTAAAAGTTCGTAACTGCTTGATCGTGGTCGGTTCTGGGTAATCCAGAATGGCCGCCACTTTGCTCCTAAGTGGTCGGATGCCTTGAGCATCAATAGTGTGTCCTAAGAAGTCTAAGCAGTTAGTCCCGATTTGGCATTTCTGATTGTTGACAGTAATGCCATGCCGTTCGAGTCGATCGAAAACAATGTCCAGATGCTTGAGATGTGATTCTCTGTCCGGACTTGCTATTAGACAGTCATCAACATACGCATGTACGAAGTTGAGACCTCGGAAGACGTCGTCTATAAACCTTTGGAAGGTTTGAGCCGCATTTCTTAAACCAAAAGGCATTCGTAGAAATTCGTAAAGACCGAAAGGATTGATGATGGCGGTTTTAGGAATGTCGTCAGGTGCCATCGGGATTTGGTTATAAGCTTTAACCAAGTCGATTTTCGAAAAGACAGTTGTACCTTTCAAGGTAGCTGTCAAATCGTGAATATGAGGCAGCGGGTAACGATCGGGAATGGTTTTAGCATTTAGACGCCGATAATCACCAGTTGGCAGCCAATCGTTGCTGTCCTTTTTAGGGACCATGTGCAATGGGGATGCCCATGGACTATTCGATGGTCGAATTATTCCTAGGTCCATCATGTGGTTGAATTCGTTTTTAGCTAACCTAAGCTTTTCGGGAGCGAGTCGACGGGCTTTCGAAAATACAGGTGGTCCTGTAGTCGAGATGTGATGTGTAACATTGCTGGTTACACAAGGTAATTTCGATTGCGATTGGTATATCCCGGGGTATTTGTCGAGTACTGCTTGGTACAAGGGGTCTATGGCGTGCTTAATCGTGACTGGGGATAACCTGCAACCAGAACAAGGAGTTACGCAAACGGACAACTTAGTGTTTCCGTCTATTAACCTACGTGCGCGTGTGTCGATGAGTAGATTGTGGTGTTGTAACAGGTCAATACCAATGATTGGCATAGAGACATCTGCAACCACGAAAATCCAGTGTATGGGTTTACGTAAACCCACGTTAAGGTAGACGTACCTTTTACCGAAAGTAGCGATCGGCTTTCCGTTTGCCGCCTGTAAACTTAAAACAGACTCACGAAGTCTGTCGTCGAGATTTGCTGGAAGAACGCTAACTTCTGCGCCAGTGTCGACGAGGTAGCGAACTTTCGTAGTCACATCCGTGACATATAAGAGGCGGCTGTGTTCGCCGGCTACGGTTGCCGTTAACGCGTGCCGGCTGGGAAGTTTTTCGTGTCACTCGATTTTGGGGTCGGATAATTACAAGGTTTCCTGCAGTTTCTGGAAAACTTACCGTACTGGTTATGATACCAGCACCAGTCGGGATTGTCTGTCTCTCGTGGTCGAGAGCCAGATCGCTTACGTGAGGCACTTCTACGCGGGGTTTTTGACCGACTACGGTCATTGCGAACTCTAAGATATCGTGTAAGCGTGTGACATAGTTCGGCCATGTCAGTCGAGGTCGATTGGGGTTTTTCTTTGATGGAAAAAACCTCGGCCTTAGAAGATCTAGTGATTTCCAAGATTCGATCGGCAGATGCAGCTATTTCATCTATGGCATTGTTTTGAAATGAAACAAGCACTGCCTGCACCTGTTGAGGGAGTTTAGACAAGAAAAGTTGTCTAAATAGGCCATCATCGAAAGTTCGTTGGCCGATGACTTCTCTCATTCTAAGCAACATGTCCGTCGCAGAACCATGTTGCAAGTCGATATTGTTAAGGAGTTGGTCTAACCGTTGTCGATCAGTTAGGTCTCCTCGTTTTAAAATCGATAGCTTAAGCGATTCGTAAGGTTCGGAAACATCACTAGTGAACATACTAGGTGTTACGTACCTGTTAAACTCGCGCGGTAACGCCTTAACTACCGCGAGGAAACGTGTGCGCGAGTCCGTGATTCCGTGCATGCAAAAATCGGCTTCTGCATAGCAGAACCAGGACTCGATATTGTCGGGCCAAAATGGCGTTAACTGAATCGAAATAGGGGGAATAGACTTTAACTTAAAAACCTTGGGTGAGTGTTCCGTCATAGTAATATAGCTAACGAAAATGTCTAATTAAAATATATCCGGAAAAAAAAATTCGCGAAAAAAGTATATCACAATATATAAAATTCAAATAAAGAATAACAATGAATAATAATATTCCAAAATGGAACAGACTCACAGTATATTGACTTAGTGTACCAGATCACGTCGGGCTCACCAATGATGATGCAACGGATATTCTAGTTTTACAACTAGATACCAGTAGCACCTTCTAAATTCGGTTGTTTCCAGTCAGATAGAAATCAGAAGTCGGACGAGAATAGGCAGGAAAGATATATTTGATTCGTTACCAATATATCGAGGACCTTTTCTATGAGCTGGCTAATGAAACGTAGGAGCTGTGTCCCACGCAGTATTGAAACGTGATCTGGTGCGGATGCATGACCGAAAGCCTTCAGCTAAACAAGTCCACTTAAACAACGTGGTCAGCATCCAATGTCGAACACTTAATGAGCTATTGATTTTGGGGAATTATTTACAGCTACAAGCACAAAGGGCGTGATTACGTAAATATATTAGTAAGAATAAGTACAGAAATGTTAGTGAGACCACCACTTCATGGGCCAGTCCATGGCTTATGATTAAATGATTGGCGTTTGTTGTCCTTGACTTTAACAGGGATCGATGATCTGTTCGTTATTGAGTGCCAGATGATTGGGCTAGAGCTCAGTGACATTCAACTGCCCCAATACTATCTATTTAAGACCACACCTAGAGTACGGTGTCCAAGCAGCCGATCCAAGTCGTTTTACGGTTACCGATACACTTGAGAGTCCTACATGTTTAGGAGCAAAGTTACCGAAGGGTGACTTTCAGCTCTCTTACGACGGGCGCTTAAAACACCCGAACATTTTCCCTTATCGTACCACAGAATGAGAGGTGATTTTATATCGGAATTCCGTACCTTTAATGACTATTTGGACGTTAATACATGGCACATTTTTGCTATTTCCAGAACTGATGATCTCCAGGGCCATAGCAAGAAGGTCCAGAAACTCAGAGCGGGGTTCCCTCTTTCTAATAAAGTAGTCGGTTTTTGTAACGCCCCACTTGAACAAGTGGGATCAGCCCCATCAATAAATGTTTTTGAGAATAAGCCATCCCTTCACTGGAAAAACGTCGAAAGGATTAACACATGTCTGCCGACTTACCATCTTTATTATTTAGGTCAAATTTGTGTTTACCCGCGGTTGTTTCTTAGATTAGCGCTATAGTATTTTGAGCATGCCGGTTAGCAATGTGGAAGTACCTTCTCTGTGAGTATCTAAAATTCTGGACATAACTTCAATTTAAGTCTATCTTTAAAAGGCGTTTTTCATTTTAAAAGTAATGAAATATATCATGCTATCCAGATTAGATTCAGATTTTCAGATGCGTGTATATATATACACGCATCTATATAGAACAGACAGCCTAGGGCCTATATCCTTACTTTTCTAGTATACTCCTATGACCGTCTAGCCTTCTCTTAAAGCAGTTGATTAAAGATGAGAACATCACTGCTTCGAGTAACAAGTTCCAAGAATTGGTGACGATGTGAAAACCTGTATGCCACAAATATTTTATTCGCTATTGAGATGTCTTGATCTGGTAAGAAAAAAGAGGATATATTACGTCAAAAATCAGTTCCTAGTGTTCTTTACGTCAAAATCAGGTCATCTTTTTATTTGCGGTAGTATACAGTAAAGTAGTCTCAAGCCGCTCTTTGTGTTGTAAGCCCAAAAGTTCATGGATTGCACGGGCAGCTGTCCTTTCCAGGATATTGGAGTCTTTTAGACCAACTAACCAGAATATCTAAATCCGCCCGAAATGCATGTGCATCTGCTTGTCCTGTTATTTCTCTCCAGATTTTCACATCAGCGTATAGTAGTATTGGGGGCTCAACTATACTTGGGACTTCATTTACATACAGTACAAAAGCTGAGAACCTGATACAGAGCCTTACGGGATATATCGAGTAGTGTAAGTCAGGCTTGGACACTTCTTGATTTTACATAACTTGGTCATTTAGATTCTTTTGGTGATTACGCTTGCGTCTTCTGAGATTTCGGGGTTTCATCTTCTACCATGTGGTCCACTTATTAACGTAGAATAAGTGTATGAATAGTCCTGTTTTACGAAGACACTGATCACAGTGAGCAACAATACCGACGTGTTTGGGATGGGTTTCTCTCCCTTTGAAAACACGACGTTGATCTGTGTTAAGTCCGAAACTAATGATTAGAAGTGAAATAGTTCAGTGAGTCGACCGCTTCTCTAGTCATGGGAGTTCCATCAGTGAGTTTATGCCCGGCAAAATCTCAGTAAGGAATGCATAAGTTTGGGTTGATTTTACCAACACTTCATTTAGGTAGTCGAGGTGCACGTGATTAGGGAATGTGTTACATATATTCCACCACCACCTATCTCGACGAGTAATGCTTGGTAATTCGGAAGTAGGTTTACAGAAAGCTCAAATTAGAACGTGGCATCAGTTCATGAGGTCATTTACTGGTGAACTGAGCTTTGTTATTTGTAGTATGCATATTGAGAGTCTTTATGGTTATGGTAGCCAATGGTTGAGGATAGTTGATATGGCGCTTGGTAGACAGCATTGGTGAAGCTTTATTCACTTTGTTTTTCTCCATATTTTGGGTTTTAGAATTATCTCCGAAACTGAAGCATTGTATAAAAACAGCTGGTTGATTTTCAAATATGACGACGTGCTGTGAAAAGTGTAAATGACTGAAACCGATTTGATTTTTTAATTGTCGTCGGACGATAAATTAGACTAGCTTACTTTACTCTGTTTATCATTACGAAGATCTGAGGTGATGTGATTGCAATCTTCGAATTACTGACCGGTGAATTTAGAGTTCAGATGTTCTCACTTTGTTTGCCTTCTAAAACAGGAAACTTGCAAAGACATATGAAAATGTCCATAATCTCTAAATCAGTAATTTGTTAACTGACTACCTACTTTCTAATCATATAGAATTTTCTGCCATCACACCATGATAACTTTCTCTGTTGATGTATTCAGTAGGTTGATTCAAATAAAAGTCTCATCATTAGACATATGAGATGGTTTCAAGCATCCGGTTCTATCCCATTGAGTATTAAGATATTTCTTAGAAATTTAGGACGTGTTAAACCAACTTTAGTCAGAATAAAGCAACTCTCAAAATACTTCTGGTAGAAGTGCATGACAGTCAAAGGATTCTTTTGAATTTGGTGGATGCTTTTGAGCCTTTCTTCTGCGTAATCTATTGAGGCGAATACCAATCAAGTATTTTTCCAGTTAAAATGATAGTAGTTGTTAAATTGCATCAAAGTTCGATTGCACAAATTGGTATGAGTATTCAGTTCAAGATATTTGAGGGCTAGTGAAAGCACGTTACTGTATTTCCAGATTTATAATTATGGTGTTTCTATAGAAGAATACAAAGGGTGGCATCATAAAGTGATACAACTCTAAATGTGAAGTGAGATTGCGTAATAATCAGGGGGTGAGAGAAGAATAGAAAGATGAGAGTAATCCACCGGTCAGAATTATGATGCCTGGTGAAATGGTTGTCTTGTAGCAATGCTAAAAGCACTAAAGCTCTACACCCGATTTTGATGGTCGAATGAACACTGATAACAATAGTGATAAAACATAACGATGATGGTCATTGTTATATTCATTTAGTTCTTGTCTAGTAAAAGTCTACCAAATATTTTCGTTTGGCTATGAATAGTGGTGTAAGCTTTTGTCTGTCTTGCGAATACGAATCAAACTCGGATAATACGAAGCTCATTTTATTTACAGACTTTATTTACCAATTAATTAATCAAGTGCTTTTAATGCAAGAGGATCTTGGTTCAAAGATTTCCGACATTCATGTACTTTCTTTATTTTTATAGACAGCCAGTGCGTGATCCTGTACTGTTTCCCTTGGGATTAAAAGAAGAAGCAAAAATGTTACTAGGTTCTGAGGACATTACAATACACGCAAAGGATTTACGGAAGATAGCTCATCTAGGTGATTCTTGTACATTTGTTTCTACTATTTTAATTTCCGATCAATCCCTTATTTTCTATTTATATGTATTTGTCGTGCGATTAAATGTCATTTTATAGCTACAACCACGTTATCTAGGGTTACGTTTTGTAAATCTTAGTCCTATTGATTACCTTCCAACTGATTCCTGTCAAGGTCCTCATGGTAGCACAAACGTTAATTTTTCTTATTATCAAATTATTTTACTTTATCAACATACCTGTCACTTAGCTCATTGGATTTGTTTTTCTTTCCTAACGGTTAGGAGTTAAGGATTTTTGAATCAGTCGCTGAATATTGATAATGATTTTACGTGTCTGCTGAAATTCACACCTTTCTACCGCCTACTATGTTTTTCTAGTTTATATATTCGTATGATCCCAACTATTGATCATAACATGTATACTGCGTACAGTTGTAGTGTTAAACTGATGTAAAAATAGACCAGTTTATTTCATTCACTATCTCAATAAATAAAATTCAGCATACAACTCAATAGAATTTCAACACTGTTCTTTATTTTGAATCGGGATGAGCCTTTCTGTAAATTATGTTTCACTTTCTTAACATATGTAGTTCGGCTACGTTGAAGGAGTTCTGTTGCATGAAAACTGGTGTTAATGCAGTGCTGTACTGTTCAATCAATTTTTCAATATATAAACTATCATTCAAAAATCATGCTTCGATTTATTTACTTAAGACATAAGTATTCATGTAGGTTTGGGAAGTAGCGTGCGACACATTCTGGTTAAATCACTGCGACTGCCAAAATCTATTTGCTTTAACTCGGTTAATTGTGAAAAAGTGTGGATGAAATCCTGTTATCTTGATGATGTTATCCAGTATACGTTGAATATACCAGAGTCTGATCAAATATCGGTTTTACATAATTTAATTACTGTACGTGTAATTCATCGGACAGATAATGATACACGGTTATTCGTCCCTCTTTATCATTGAATAAAGCTAATATGTTTCTTGAGTTAATATATCGATATTCAAAATTTCACCACATCCAGATATAGTTATTGATATACACGGCCTAACAATAATTGTATTCTCAGCGGATAATTTACGTTAATTAATGCGAATACTTGATGATTCTCTCCTGCATTCATTCTTCATCATGAATTTGCTTGAATTTTCAGTAACCATTTAACCTCTATTCCTTAGGCTCCGGATATTATGGAAGAGTAGAAAAAATGATCCATACACCCACGTCACACGTTTTCGCTGTCAAACACATTTCCGTCCATCTGAATTACCTCTCAAGACCCCTTATTTCTCGAGAATTGGCTGTTGGGACCCGCTGTAATCACCGTTCTGTGGTTACTTGTTACTGTGGTCTGTTTTGTGAAGGTGATGTTCTTATTGTTATGGAATTAATGGATACATCTTTGGACAAATTATTAAAAAAAGTGAGTTATTTCCAGATGCGTGTAACATTTTGTATAATTTCGTTTTATCACTTAACGTTATTATTAAATTGTCATTTCAGGTTTCGAATTCCGTGTCTATTTTCATTTGGATTCACTTCTTGTTTAATATTTAAGTTCTAAGCACTTTAGGAAGATTTTTTTCTCCAACAATTTAAGAGCGTTTTAGTGCCAGTTTGCAACTTGTGTTTATGGTGTAAACGGACATAGGTAGTGTATCGCAGGAATCGGAAGTGGGATGTTTACCAGCAGATTGAAATTGATAGAAGGAAAACAGAAAGCAATCGGGATAATAACAAAATTTAAAGAATGACGAAGTAAGTAAAGGACAACTCATGAAAGATACGCAAATGATGTATTTAGTGTACGATTACCATATTTTACAAAGGAACTGTTTGATTTTGCATAAAACAATAAATTGGTTTACCGTGCTTATATTTTCGTCCACTGTATGTCCAACGTATTCGTGATAGAAAATCGGCCTTATTCAACCCAAAAATCACATCACTGTCGATGAGTGACGAAATAACGGTATATGTAAAAGTTTACTTGTCTAATGGTTAGGATATATGTTACATGCGTCCATCTGATGTTAATTTAATTTTCTATTCGGACTATGGTAGGGTTGTGCTGAAAAAAAGTTTATGGGTGGTCAAATCAAAATGTGATATAAATTTATCAAGGCAATCGACTTCTTCCATGAGCCGTGTAGAAAGTTGCCGACTTCCTGACTAAAGCTTTACAGATAATCAAACTAGTACCAGACTTCAAGGTATCTCAACATGTGTTGTTTTGATACACATACATGAGCACTTCATTTTCTCAAAATACACGTTGTTTGTCTCTAGTTCTTTGCCACTGATAGCATAATTGTTTTCGTTCCTTTTCTTTTCTCGTTTTATTAATTTCTTATCACCCTAGTTATGTGATATATGCCAGCTTGGATAGGTATATTCTAGAATCTTACTGTAATTTTGTCTATCTGTTATTTTATCAAGTTTTCATTGATTTGTGTACAAAGCATGAGCTTTATATTAGTTATTTATCAACCAACTCAAATGGAAATGGAGTTCACGTCTTGCGATTCATTATTAAGACTGTAAAGTCAGAACCCTGTTCTGTTATTTTTAATAAATATATTGTTTGGAAGCTTAATTTTTAATCTTAATAAAGTGTCAGCGATTGCTATTAGGAATGAGACCAAGATAGCGTACTTTCACAAAAAATACCTTTCAATGTGTATTCATTTAATATTGCTAAATCACAGGAATACGCCACCTCTTTTGGTCGAAGTGAGTCTGCCAAACAGTAATCATAAGATATTTTAACATTTATTTCTCCATTGAAACAGACAAAGTACGGTAGTTTTATGTTTTAAATATTTGTCACTACATGCTGTAATGTTGGGTTATAAGTAGATATATTCACTTTCAGTTTCATGATTACTCTTCTTAGGTTTACAACCGTGGTCGTACTTTTCCTACTGACGTCCTAGCGTACATTGTATTGTCGGTTGTTGAGGCTCTTGAGTATCTACATCAACTTGAAGTTATACATCGTGATGTAAAACCTTCAAACATGCTTGCAGATTGTCAAGGCCGAGTTAAGGTAAGACAGAAAGTTAGAAAAATGTGCATTAACTATTATCTATAATTGTATATAGTATTTTCTTAAATAAATTAATAGTTTGTGATACAGGAATATTTTCAACCTCAAGTTCAATTACTGTATAAAATTTTAAACCCTTTTGTTTCCGTTTGGTGAATAAGGTTTGTGATTTTGGAATATCGGCCGATTTAGAAAATTCAATTGCGTTAACCAACATAGGGACAAGAGCTTATTTAGCTCCAGAGCGAATTAATACGCGAGAGAATGAAGGATTTTGTATTCGTTCAGATGTATGGTCACTTGGTCTAAGTGTACTCGAATTAGCAACTGGAAAACCTTGCTATCCTCAATCGCAAAATGTATTTCAGCAATTGGTCCAGGTAATTATGTTTTTTAATGTCTCTATGATTCTGTAATCATCTTTTACTTAAATTACATCATATCAAATTCACTAGTACAAAACTCGACAGTCCAGTTTTATCTAACGTTCTTAGATCTTTCTTCATCGATTAGCACACATTCCGTTCATATTTGGAAGTTTATTTTATTACAAATAATTACATTCGTAGATTAATCGCTATCCCGTTCATTAATCGGTGTGATGGCGATTCGGAGCTTTTTAATTAGCCATTTCATCTGAATACGTATATTACTAACCAATTACAAATTATTTCAGTGGTTTACTAGTTAATATTATAACTTACGTTAAAACTCTGATAGAAACTTTTTCTTCAATTGCTTATTTTATGCAATTCATTGTGACAAAATACTTAGAAATTTAGGCACTATCATATTAGTATGATAACCAAAGGCTTTCCAGCTTACTATAGACTATCGCATTTAGGTTATATTGTTTTAAACTATGATGATGATCTCTATTTTCTTTTACCTGACGAATTAATATGGAATTTGAGTACAAGTTTGTGGGATCTAGCGCCAATGTACACCGGCCGAAGTAGCTTGGAATACACAAATGATCCAATACGTATAACTTTGTCCCATTCATCTTCGGCGTTCTTGTCAAACTTAGGCGGTATTCTCAACCTACAATAATTATTTGATTGTCGTTTGGACATCTGAACGAAGTTTTTTGATGACATTTTTATCCACCACCAAATAAGCGAATTAGTCAACCTATTCAACCATTTCATTTTAACCGTTCAAATGTGCCTTAGCAAACGCACCCTACAACATCATCTTACACCTAAGATATGAACCGTCTTCAGTTTCTCCATCATTGTGTTCAGATGTTCTTGTTTGTAATCAAATTATTTAATAAATGCTACAGCGCAAGTCACATCTAGAATAAATGATCTAGAAAATTCCTATTGATTTGTGATATTTTTGAGATCAGCTCAAAAATAGTAGGAACTATTTTGCTCAAATAACAACAAAAGAGAATAGTAAAATAAATTGTTGTTTTGGTTGAAAGGTGATAGGTTATTTCATAAGTTTTCACTTAAAATTTTAGTAGCATAGACATGCGCATGAATTATCGTTTATGATTTATAAAAAATCTATGATTTTCGCCAATCCAATGAAAGCTTTACCGCGTTCTTATCAGTAGAATCTAAAAACTATTCTCACAATGTTATATCATACCAAAGTAAGCGCTAAGATGTATAGCCTATCTTGAAACTCTTGATTGGTTCAAACAATTCTATAAGTTGAATTTATAAAAGATTATGTGAAATATCAAAAATCAAATCAATAAATCATTTCTGTGTATATCCATTTCAATTTGTCAATTATATGATTACCAAAAAAACTATAATCTCATTTATGTGGTTTTACTTTAAGGTTGTTCATGAACCATCACCACAATTGCCAGAATCAAGTTGTTATCCGAATTCACTACGTAAATTCATTGATTCATGTCTTATGAAGAACAAGGATGATAGACCGAATTATGTTCAACTATTGGAGTCAGAATTCTTATCAACTGTTGACGCTAAAAGTGGTCAAGAATCATTTAGAATATTTTTAGCAGATTATCTTGATGATAATGAAAAATGTTAATAATTCATTATAATATTCGTTGTTATTACTGATAATGATGATATATTAACTTACTTAAAAAGTAAGTACATGTATAAATGTTCTCAATCACATCATAAACATCAGGTTATATGTAATAGGAATTACTTTTTCTCTGCCTGCTTACATTAACAAAAATTGTTTACCAACCTATATGTGATACATTCCGGTTTTTTTTTAATTTCCAAATTTGAAGAGATTTTCTTACTCCTTATTTGTCTATCAGTGATGATTACAAACTAATCTTTTGAACAGCCTTGTTGTTATTGCTTTTATCTTGCCAGCATATATATATATATATATATATATATATATATATATATATATATATATAATTCTCATATATGTATATAATTTCTGTCACTGTTCTCGTTTAACATTAAAATATCAGTGGTAATTTCATCTACCATGTAGTTTTGTCGTTTTATTTTGCTTTTAATTTTGTCTTCCCAATCTTGACTGTTCTTATAAATAATTGGTTTGACCACTACTAGTCAGTAATGATAAACAGATGAAGAAGACATTTTTTATATAGCCATTTTCACTGTAGTGGGATTTTATTAAATTTATTTTATTAAAATGATTTATGCTTTTCTGTTAACGAAGGATTGGTCATGAATATTGAATGTAGTCATATCCGTTAAAACAGTATTAGTTACAGTTTTTTTACAGTAATATTATTTATTGAATTTCTTGAGAAAATTTGTTCGTTAAATTATTATTATTATTTTTATTACACTCAGCTTGTAATCACAGAGCCCATGTTAAGTTGTATGGCATCGAAATAGAAAATCGCTTCATTTTTTATGGTATTTGGAGCGAGCGACACTGGGTTTGAGTCCCGGAGTTAACACCAACTCTGAGACGCGGGCACATTCAGCTAACGAGTCCCAAATGGGACGAAACGCGCGTCCTAAATTCCATAACTAGCTAACATCCATCCTTGCGTATAATGCTTGTGACTGAAGGCAACATTGAGGCAATCCGCACAGGATGTCAATAAGAGACCGATCAATTTATTTACTTAAACATATAAACATTGGTACAAGGGGGCACCAAATACATATGCACCACACAATAACAATGAGACTAGTGGCAGTTTTCATTGATTTGTGTGAGGGCTGGAATACTGTCCTGGTGCCCAAATTGAAGCAGATTGTTTTCTGAGAAGGCCACTACCCGAGCATTTGACCTGAAGGCAGTGGAACAACTTTAGGAGATGCGGTCCCATGATAACCGGTGACCAACGATAAATTCATGCTCCATTCGTTTCCTCAGGATCCTGGAACCTATGTGCACTGTTGGTTTGTAATCAGGGTTTTTCAACTCACCTAGGTATATCCACTAACCCGGTTAAAGCCTCGAACATTCGCTTTTCGTCCTTTCAATTTCGTAAGCAACACTCCTCGTCACGAGACTGATCCATTGCAGTCATAAACATCAATATGAATATGCAAACAAACAACACAAAAATAAATTAATACTTGGGGACAGTTGGCAACATTACTCTATTTATAATTCTTTGAACAAATACTTTGATAACAACTTTCTAATACAAAGGCAAGGACATCTGAAAAAGTTATTTTTTGTTGAAACCATTTTTCATATTAATCACCAAATGACCAATTGTTTTTATGTAATTAACTAATAAGATCATAACATTCCACTTCATTGATTTATTTTACTAGCTCAGACTGGAATCTATTTTTTTATACTGACGACTAAATTTTTTCACGTAACATTATTGTTGTAGAAGTTATGGTGTACATATATGTTTCATTATTTCACTGAAAGTTTTGTGATGTGAATATAATAGAAGAGTCGACGAATTTTAAAGATTGATACATCAGAGCTTATGACAAATTGTCGTCTGACTTCACAATTTCAAGCGGTGTCCGGCAAGACTGTTCACTATCTCCATTTTTGTCTAATTTCATCGTAGATCTGCTGCTGGAAATGACGTAATCGTTGTGTAAATTTTGAGGAATTGATCTCCTTCCAGGGAGTCCAATTATCGACTTAGAATACGCAGATGACATAGTCCTGTTTGTTGAAGACGCTAATAAAATTCGAGGTCTTTTGGTAGCACTGAACGAGAATGCCAGGATGTTTGAGATGCGCTTCTCCCATTGTAAATGTAAATTGTTGCTTCAGGACTGGCTTGCGTCAACATCTGAACTAAGGATAAAGGGTGAAGAAGTCGAACACGCCGACAACTTCACTTATCTTGGAAGTCTGACCAGTCCTAATGGGTTCGTGTCTTGCGATATCTGTGCACGTATTCAAAAGGTTCGTTTGACTTTTGCCAAGTTACGAGATCTATTTCGAAGGTGAGTTATCCGTCTATCGATTAAAGGACGAGTATACTGCTCAACAGTTCGTTATGTTTTTATTTTACGACTGGGAATCGTGACCATTAAAAGTAGGAGATATTGGTAATTTACTAGTATTTGACCACAAATGTTTTAGAATTATTGCTCGCATCTGTATGGATCACTGGGTAAATAATAGTGAGGTCAGACGCAGAGTATTAGAGAATGATTGTAAATCAGTTGATGATGTGAATATTCATCGATTGAGATGGTTGGGCTACGTATTACTTATGCCTAAACACCGATTACCATGACTCACAATGCTGACTAGCATAGGGGATGGTCTGAAGAGAGTTAGAGGCGGCCAAATCAAAACGTCGCATCAGTCCATAAAGCCACCAACTTCTAGTGTAAGCCATGTTGATAGATTCAGACTACTTGGTTGGGGTCCGCGTGACTATCTTAACCAGTGGTTGGAGACTCTAGGTGGCATGGCTCAGAGTCGATCACAATGGCGTAGTTGTGTACACTCATTGTCAGCCCTTAAACTGTAATATTAAAATTGTTTTATGCCTTTCTTTCTACGAAGTAATTCTTTCTTCCTCCATTATATCCTTATACACAATCTTTCTTTTACTTATTCATATAATTGAAGTAACAGGTTCTATGAATTCGGTGTTCATCTTGTTGTGCCAATGAAGTGTGGCAACTTGGACCGATGCAAATGTGTGCTTTGTCCTATGTTGTCGCTGACTAACTGACATTTGAGAATATGTATAGTTCATAAATAATAAGTTTACATAGGATTAAAATGTACAAGTTTACTGTTTCCCGTTAAGAAATTTCATATATTTCAATGTTTCAATCTCTATATATTTGACTCTAATCAAGTAAATCACGAGAATAAGACTAGATTCATGCATCACAAAGTACAGTTCTGTTAGTATTTTATTATTCTCCTAAATATGAAATGTGTTGAGGTGTAAATCATATTCACATATAGTTTGTTAAATGGATTGTGTTACTGGTTGGGACTATGTAAACCATTTGAACAGCAAGTACTTGTTTTTCATAGTACAACCATCACAGGACTACAATAAATTCCTTATCATTTATATGTTTTAGCCTTTGTGAAAGATAACAACAATCCATGCAAAGTAAATTAGTAGATTTCAAGCAATCTATAGCACAGAGTAATTTTTCAGTAATACCGTCTGAAATTGATCATATTTTCCAATCAGTCATACTAACAATAAAACTTTATGAGTCGTTTTAGTTGGTCTCGGGTATCTGGTTTGAACATACACGATAATTGTACTCTATTATTTGACACTCAACTTTTTATAGGGGGAATTTAGTCGTACGAAAGTAGATGCATTTATTTCTTCCTCTTGGGTATTGATCTTCATCATTTCACTGTACGTTCTATTTTTTTTAAAGTATCATCAAACATAGGATGAGTTCACTCAGCAGTGATAATGATCATAGACGACTGTATAAAGAGGCAGGCACGTATGTTGTAGTCTTCATTATTATACGAGCTTTCATAGTGCAAAGAAACAGATATTCGACCCTGACTTACTTTTCAGCGCTCATCAGATAAGTTGTACCTAGAACTTTCAGTAGCTGAATCAACAAACAACTGACCGAATGTTCTGCATATGATATGCAAAGTAGATTGTTTAACGCAGTGCCTCGATCGTAGTCTCAGCTTAGCCTCTTAATTTGATTGTTTATCGTTTTCTTTGACACTTAAATCAAATTCAGTTTGTTTCCTTCTTGAGTTATTTCCGAATATTCGATATTCTGAACGCTGATGTTACCTTTAATTGTGAATTCTAGAATCAATAAATATTGTTTAAAGAGTTCTGAACGTTCAACGGTAGACAAAGTTCAATACGGAAACTGGATCTACAAAACATGCTATTCAAAACAGAAATTGAGCATACTTGCCAAGTATTGTTTATAGTCTTCATGTTTGTTTGCATTCACAGAATTATGCGTTTATCAGTCCACCGCTTTCCAAATTCATACCTAGAGGCGATCCTCCTTGTTTCTCAGTGATACTTCCCAATTATATAAGATTTCCAATTACTTCTAGATTCTGGCCACTAACAATGTTTTGTTGTGATGGCCTTCGAGAAGCACGACGGAGCCTCCAGAAACCTAAAGGAGCAGAAAAGTTTCCACACAATCAGAACCTGATGGAGTTTCTAGAATACCAACGTGGCATGCTGCGACTGAACGGTAGTCTAAATTGCCTCATTGCGAACTTGCTGAACTATAATGATGTTATGGATAATGCTAATATCTATAAGTACCCATGATTTTATGTATATTTTAGATTTTTACCGAAGAATCACCTCCCGCTTCTGTCTTCCGACTTACGATTTTGGTAGTTCTATACGTTTGAGTGACCTTAGTTGTATATCGTGTTCTGCGTTAATCAAGTAGCGAACGTGACAGTTTTGTCTTCTGATCTTTTTTAAATTTCAGATTTCTGCTTTTTCCTTGAAAATCTTTAGACCCACTGCGACCATATTAGTCAAATCCTTCTACATTTGCTGCGAATTATGAAATAGGAAGGTTGGGTTATCTATAAATTCCGGATTCTATAGCTACATCCAAGCTGTCTATTTCATTTCATGCTTTCGCCGACATATCAATGTCATAAATTTCCTGGCAATCAAATGAAAGCAAAAAGATCATAGTAAGCAGCCATGTTCGACACCAGTCCTCACCTGTAACAGATCTATTATCAGTATTTCATACATAACTATTCAATTCAGTCTATCGTAGGAGTTTTATACCCATAGTTCACTTTATCGTTTTGAAGAGAGCAAAAACAAAGATTCTAGTTGAATATCATGAATCCATTTTATTTCGTTTGTTTGTGGTCAGCTGTTTACAACCTGTGATATTTAAAAACAATTAAAATATGGATTTAAATTACTTACATGATGGAGTTTGGTTGGAAAATATGTCGAAGACATTAG